GTTCCCTAAAAAAAAAAAAAAAAACCCTAAGTTGATTTTTCGTAGGAGAGATGATGGGGGGAGATTTGAAGAGAGATTCTGATGGCGATTATGAGAGAAGAGCGAGCACCGTTGCTCAGTAAGTTTTCTCTGTTTTTCCAGATATTTTGATCTGGGGGTGATTAGGGTTTTGGTCTCGTCCGAGTTTTTAAACCGCTGATGAGATTTTTTGTGTTTCCTCCGTAGAGTTTTTCCCTGTTTTCAGTTGATTTAGTGACTTTTTCATCGTTGCGCTTAAAAAAATTGAATCTTTTCGCAGTTGGATACTTTTGATCTCTTTGTTTCAATTCCAAAAGGTTCAATCTTTTGGTGCAACGCTATATTGGTCTCTTGTACTGTTTTATTTTCTTTAGGTATAAATTTGATTGTTAGAGAATTTATTTGGGTTTTACAACTTGATCAGTTTATTTGGGCTTTTACAATACTTTGATCACCTCACTGATTCATCCACCCCACCCCCCCCCACCCCCCTCCTACCCTTATTTTACTGATCTAGAAGTTTGCTAATGTCTGTTTCTATTACTTGTAGGAAGACTTGTGGTCCAATGAGGAGATCAACTAAGGGAAATTGGACACCTGAGGAGGTGAGTTATCGACGATAATTAGATCGTCATTTAAATTTTTTAGTAATTTCGACTATTTTGTTTAATTGAGATGAAATTTTAAGGGGAAAAAAAAGAAATAATAGATTTCAGCATACTCGAGATCTGGAACTTCTCTCTTTTAGATATATACCTTTTTTTTCGGATATACACGTTAAGTTGGAATTTATAATTTGATACGTCCTGTTGATTAATATTTTTCTTTCTTGGGGAAATAGGATGCTCTCCTTACCGAATCTGTAAAGAAGCACAATGGCAAAAATTGGAAGAGCATAGGTAAGTGCATAATTGTCTATGAACTTTGCATTGGCCTCTGTTGTTGTTATTGTATTATGCAATATGTACTTCTCACTGTGCGTATATTCACCCACTTTTCCTGTTGCTCAACTTATTTAGATTCAATCAACAAATTTGAGATTAATTATACTGAATATGCAAACATTTCAATATTGATGCAAAAACATGATAACTTATACTGAAGACATGAATTTAATTATAAATCTTTGGATTTTCTCTGTCGTTCATATTAACTAAAAGACACTTGTATGTTATATGACAGGCATGCCAAAAATATCAAATTTTCTTTACATGTTTGCTGGAGGTTCTAGTTGGAATGAGAATTATCATATTTTCAAAAACGGCTTACTAGTTATAAAAGAAGAGTCTTCCATTGAATTTTTACGAGCTATTGGAGTTAAATTTTCATGATTTTCCTATAATATGTAAAACACTCCTCCCACTGAAAATTTTGACATATTGATACAGCTCTATGCGATATGTGTTTGTCCATATTTTACATAGTTCTTTTTTCTCAGTCTTGATGTCCTTGGAATATTCTTTTGCTCTACCTGAAAGAAATTGCACAAGATTAGCAAAAATCTGTTATAAAACTGTTACAATATTCTTCACTGGATGAAAATCATGTAGAAAAGGGATAGGGTTAGTTTTCTATGATTTAGAAGGGTTACAGATTATTGCCTTTATTATGCGAGTTCAAATTATTTGCTTGCTCTGAATTTTTTTAAAAGACAATTAGCTGAAATATATTCCTTCTCCCTGTCCAGCAAAGCTTTTCAAAAATCGGACAGATGTTCAGTGCCTCCATCGATGGCAGAAAGTCCTCGATCCAGAGCTAGTTAAAGGAGCTTGGACAAAGGAGGTGAATGCCAACGTACATAGCTAATATTAATAAATTTACGCATCACGAATGAATTCTTCAGTAATAAGATTCCTTGTGATGTACAGGAAGATGACCTCATTCTTAGCCAAGTTAAGGTTCATGGAACTAAAAACTGGTCGGTCGTTGCAAAGTCTTTGCCTGGTCGCATAGGCAAGCAATGTAGAGAGAGGTGCGTTTGTAGCAAAGATTAATCTTGTGAAATTCCTCATTATTGATATAATTAAAGTAAATTTATGTTGGTTCGCTTCTTATAATGATTCATTAGAAAAGTAAATCCCATTGGTGAAAATTTTAATCACCTTTTCGTTTAGAATCTGATACGAACTGATATTGATTTTTAGGTGGCACAATCACTTGAACCCTGCAATTAAGAAGGATGCATGGACAAAGGATGAAGAAAAGGTTCTAATTTGGGCCCAAAATATGTATGGCAATAGATGGGCAGAAATAGCCAAGCACATACCTGGAAGGTAATTTCTTTATTGTTTTCTCTAACACATATTTGTTCTTATAATCTGGGGCATGTAAATTATGGTTATTAGTGCACTGCTTTTCAGTATTATTTTTGTTTGCTTAAATTTGCTTTTAAGACAAAAAGGTGAGATCTTTTCCTCTCAACCTTGTCGACGGATTCAGTTTCAACGCATATTAAACAACCATAGGAAAATAACTGGAATGTTGGCTATTATAGTTCCAGTTTTTTCCCCCTTCTTTTGCAGGCAAGGCGGGCTCATTGCTCTTGCTTTAGCTATTTAAACCAAAGGGAAATTGACAGAAACTGGTTTTCCCCCTTTTTGAATTGTACTTGATTCAGTAATTTCCTGATTAGTATTGTAATTCCAACTTAATTGGACTTTGTTATAGCTAAACCATTTATTACCTTCTCCTTTTTCCAATATCCAATCATACAATCTTTTAAAATTTTATCTAACTCTTAGCCTATGAATCTATATTTTACAGGTCAGATAATTCGATAAAGAACCACTGGAATTGCTCTCTGAAGAAAAGGTGTGATCTAACAAATGTAACCATTTCTCACAATTTGAAAAATTACTTGTCAGAACCACAACCCCAAAAATCAGATCGTAGACCTCTCGAGCCAAAACAAGCTTCAGACTGTTGTTCTCCAAATCTTGAAGTGAGTTCACTTAGCCAAGCTTCTTCTATCATTGAGAGACAAGAACAGAATGGATCACCATCAGAAGTGTTATGCACACATCAAAACGATGAAAATACAATTTTTTCAACGCCCCCTTCAGTTTCAAGCAAAAACTTTTCGACCCCAGAGGCTAATTATCAGCAAGCTCACACCCCAGTTTATAATTCTACAACATCCGATCTTTCAGTAAGTATTAGTTCCTCTCCAATCAGCTTTCTATCGTCTTATGTACGGAGCGCTGCAAAGGACTATGAACTACCATCTATCTTATCAAGGCCAAGTCAACATAAAAGAGCAGTTGATGAAAATGATTCTGTAGGTGTTAATCATCCTACTCCCAAAAGAGCTAAACATGATATATGGAGCACAGAAGATTTTTCTAATTTACCTCGTGATTACCTTAGACTTGGACTCCCTGGTTCAACTGAATCCATTCGGAGACTGGAGCCCGAGTTTGATTCTGTGTGTGATAGCGCATCACAACAATTGTAAAGAATGAAGTGACTACTGTAAGTACTCGTTAAAATTCTATTTGTACCATGCATGATACTAGGTTAGTTGCAAATAGACCCTTGTAGTATTGTTGTTTTGAATTTACTGCCCCTCTAGCTTTATCGTTGCAGATAGACCCCTTGATTGATCTTTTTGACTCTTTTTTCCCTTCAAAGCAAAACTTGTACTTTGATAAATAGACCCCCTTAGGGTAGAAAGGTCAAAAAAAATCACTTAGGGGGTCTATCTGCAACAGCTAGAGGAGTAGCAAGTTCAAAACAACAAAACTGCAGAGGGTATATACGCAATCAAGCCTAAATCCTAAGTTACACGGCTATATGTTATCTTCTTTAATATGGGATTGCTAAATAAATCAAGGTTTTTCATTGCAGGAAGTCTTACAGTCAGATGAACATAACTAACAGTGCTAGAGAAAGCTAGGTTCTCATCAGCAAGTTCATGCAAAGATACTATAAAGTCCCTGTCACTGCATCAAACCTCCGAAGTCGTGACGAAATTTGAGGTTCATACTTTTATATTCTAACAAAAGCTAAATTGTTGTTTCTTTGGAATCCATTGTCATAGGAAAAAGCAGATTTCTCTCTTCGTTTAGAGTTTGATGGGCCATGAATGTTTTCTGTGAATTAGAAATTTTTTTGATCCTTTTACCTACTTTTAGTTCAAGTTTTTGGTGTATATATACGTGCTTCATTATTTATGATCAAATTAGTGGCGGCATGGTGCTGAGAATTTAGACGTGCATGGTGAAATTTTATTTTGCTAGTAGCTGAAAGGACCATGTTCTAGTGACATTTTCTTTGGCTATACTTGTAGTGCAATACAAATTGGCACTATGATATCAGCAGGTCTTGAAATCTTTTTTCACTTTTGGCATAACGTTGATGCAACATTCAAAGTTCGTGTCATCATTGTACAGACTTTGCATTATATAGGAAAATAAGTATTTACTTGGTTGATGTTATGCTTATCTTTAATTGTTACATCATCCTTATCTGCAGTAAAACAAGTAGTATGTTCCAAAACGATACTCTCACCAGTAGATTTTTCTTCAGAGCTCACGAGACGCACAACGCATCGTAATCCTGTAATAAATTTTTTTTATTGCGTTGTTAACATGAATACTTTTAATATATGTTTCATCGCCTGAATAAAATCAGGATCATGACATGTCGTTTGACTGTATCAATGTTGAAATGAAGCAAACAAGACAGTTGGAACTTAACTTGTTGTTTGAGAATCAAACAAAGAATTACTTCGGGGAAGAGAAATAAAATGATATCCTTATTGTTGCCTTGTCCATTTCATATTAGGATTACTATTAAAAGGTACGGATCTGCTATCTAACGGGTCATTAAGTTGATCATATCAGGCGCCGAGAAGAAAATAAAAGAAACATAAAGAAAATGAATTATTAAAAGAAAGCTGCAACGTTACCTATGCTAATATACGTGCTTATGTGTGTATTCTCACATGCAAACTCAAACTTTTAACTTGTAAAGAATAATACCTAATGATACAGGTTTTTGATTCATAACCTTGCTTGATAATGTCTTGGATATTGTCTAGGATGTTATCCAGAAGAAGAAAATTTTAAAAACAGTACGGATTCTGAGAGAAGTTGCTCTACGAGCTCTGGCAATGTCAATTCAAAATTCTCATGTGCTGTGTGTATTATCCTTTGTGAACTGAATTTTTATCCGGTTATGTTATGTCGGAGGACTTGATGGAGAATTTTGAAGATAACATCTAGATATCATATATAATGCATATATAAACAGGGACATTTCATCAAAACTTCAAACTATGAGCAAAGTCCTCGGTACATCATTGAGAGTTACATAACACTTCATGCATCCATATAACAAGGAACTGATCTCTGGCGATCTTATTGGACATGGATCTTACACGCTCTCTCCACATAACATTACACAAACTCGATAACTCCATCACATGCTCGGCTTCACATTAAGGCGATTTCCCACCTTCTGACCGAGGCTTGTATCACACTGCAATTCACAATTTACAGTTTAGAGGCAGTGATCGGTTTAAACGAAAACAAGCGAAGAAGGTGACAGGCTTGTTACTACCTTAGCCAAATACGAGACCCAGATGCTGCGAAGTTCATAGCTGACCTTAGGGTGAGATAACGCCTCGACCCATCTCTGGATGAATCGATCTTGCCTGATTAAAAGTTCAGTTCTTGATGTTAAAATCGCATATATCTTCACTGAATATCAAAATTTTATCCAGAAAAAAAAGGACCTGTCAGGTGCCCAAGAGCGATATCGCTCTCCTGGCTGCTTGAAATCATTCTGCTTGTGAATTATAACCTGCAACAATTCCCATATCGAAAAACTCTTTAAGTTAATAGGAATCGAGATTTGAAGTTTTCGCGAAGTTCTTAATTACTGTTAGAAATTCACCTTCTCGCGCCTCCCTGTAACTGGACGGGCAGGGATCGGGAATCTCTCAGCGTGTCGGAGAGGGGCATGCCTCGATGGATAGTAATCGACCTAAAAATATGCCGAAAAGAAATTATCAATCTATTCAAAATGCGAGATCAGAAAAATGGTCGATTTCTGTACCTCTTCGGTCCTGTCCATGAAGTTCATCAGCCCGTCGTAGTGATTGTTGTGGTGTGCGCATTTAGGCGCGTTCACGGGCAGCATCAGATAATTTCCCCCGGCCCCAGCCGCGTACCTCTGAGTGTCCAAGATTTAGGCGAAAATCTCGGCACTGGAGCTTCTTATCGTCCGAGTGAAATAGGATTCCGGGCCCACAATTACAAGCCGGCCCACAACGCCAGCTAGCTCGTTCTCAGCGAAGAAGTTGTCGACGTTCGGTGAGAACCAACCTGCCTACCGCTGAAGGGCAGGAGGTCCTCGGGCCAGTCTTGGTGTCGTCCAGCGGGTTTCGAAATTCGTTAGCGCGTCCTCGTCGTCCGGGTCCTTACCTGCCGACAAAGATGCTTCAACTCGGTGTAGTTACCGGCGGCCTATGGAGTCGTACGAGATCCTGGTCGCGTGGCTGTGCGTTTCTCCCGGCGACGTCCTGCGCGGCCTCGTCGCTCCCATGAGGCACTTGACCCGCAGTTGGGCTTCCAGTGGAACTTGATAAGCTGCCGCTTTCCCTCTTGCTTGATGAAGGTGTAGGTGTTCACGCCGAAACCCCCTCCAGCTGATGCGGTATTGTCGCGTTGGGTGATTCCGACGTTCGTCGAAGAGGAAGAAGAAGCGCTGTGGAGGCTCTCCGCCGGAGGTGGCCCGAGAGGAAGTCGAAGAGCCCTGCCAGTCTCCTGGATTATGCGACCTCGGGTTCGCGTTTGAAGGCCGTGGATCACGGTCGGGGACTGATCCCGTCGCGGATGAAAGACCGGCGAAGTTGTTCCGAGGAGGTCCCAAGTTACCTGCATATGCGAGTGGGGAAAAAAAAAGAAACACGACGCGTGCGTCAGTCGCTAGCTGCAGCCTAGAAAATAGATATATATATGCAGACGGTTACCTCCCGGAGTGTTAGAACTTGACGCGAACCCACGGTGGGTCGCGAATGGTCTCGGGGCTCCCCTCTCGTGGATGACCGTGCGAGCGCAACCGGCAGGATGTCGGCGTCTGCACGCCCGGCGCGCGGAGGAAGTCGGCGCAGGTGGGTTTCGCTGACGTCTGTGGTGTGCCACTCGAAGAGAAGCCTTCGGCGCTCGCCCCGAGCTGTTGCACGACTCGCGCTCGCGGGATCCGCTCGCGAGCGAAGTGGGCGATCTTCTCGATCAGGTGGTAGTCCTCGAGAAGAATGGGCCCTGCACGATCGAACGTACGTCCGGTGTGATTATTTACTACGCATATGGTGATCGGGCCTCTTCAACGGAAACAACTACAAAGTGATCATGCATGCATATGTAATACCTCGAGATCCAACGGTAAGCGCTTGATCGTCGTTCCACACGGGAGCGCCGGCGTTGGTGGTGGTGAAGGCGGTGTCGAAGGAGCTCGACGGCCGGAACTGTAACATTGCGGAAAACCATCATCAAACAGGGCATGGTAACATCTCGCATGACATTTATGTGCAAGTAGTGTTTAACATGCGCATAAGGTTAGTGAAACTCGTAACAAATTTGATCATAAACGTTGCTTAGATGACACTATCATAAGGTTACAAACCTGTAAAATTGGATTAACTCTAATTAATTAAACATTTAGATATACCTTGTAAGGATCCATTTGATTTTTTTTTTTTCTTCGACAAAGAGCGTGCGTATCACGTTCCGGTACTCTCTCGATAGGGGGGGTTATATAATGTAAGATTTGGGCTCACATCACCGCGTGGTGAGCTTACCCCCGAAATCCCAGCGTAGGCTCTTCAGCACATGCTCAAAAACACGCCAGGCTGACACGAAAACTGGGGCCCACCCACATGGGTTTTGTATTTTTCTTAAGAGGGTGCAGGCTTGGGGTGGGTTGAACTTGGTCTCATGATATTTCTCACTGGGGGACAAAGCTTCGGTGGTTTGATCTTATCTCATATTATGGCTTGTTCTGACTCAGCTGGGCTTTCGGATGGGCCCAAAATAAAGGGAAATATTTTTCCCTCCGGTTTTATGGTGAATGATTACCTTATCAGTTTCAGATTCAGTAGACTTTTCTCCGCTCAACACCGTGGCCATATTGGTAGAGAGACTGACAGCACCTTATGGACTGGGCCCACGTTTTATGGAAGTGTTTTCTCCGCTCAACACCGTGGCCATATTGGTAGAGAGACTGACAGCACCTTATGGACTGGGCCCACGTTTTATGGAAGTGCCTCAACTCGATCTATGCGGTCCCGCTGCACCTGAATCTCGAGCTCAGCAACCATCCGAGTACTGCGCCATGTCTGTAAGCGAGCATCCAACTCGGCAGCAACGAATGAAGAGGCACCTGTATCCCGGAGCTCATGAAACATCTGAAGCTCACGCTCTAAGCGATCAAGGTCATCAACCATAGCCGTCGCTAGATCCGGACATCCTATGTCCCTAATCAAGTTTATCTTGGAATCGAGGTAGGGCTTAAATTGGCGAAGAGAAAGTCCGTCGTGGAGGAGTTTGCCAATTATAACAGTCAGGGAGGAGAAATAAGAGCGGACTTCTACGCTGATGATGATCTTCTCAGGGTCATCCCCTGATAACAACTCCTTAACGAGGATATGAAGCTGAGAAGGAAGCCCTACACAAAGAAGAGAAGTTCGTCAAAAGCCTCAATGAGGAAATGAACGGCATCGCTCAGCTAATTAAATTATACCTCCTTCCCCTCGAGTCACTGGGGGTGATGGAGATGTAACAACTGTAGCTGCATCGACTGGTGGAGTTGGTCGCACAGCCGGCTCAACATGGTCTTTCTCAACAAAAGCTCCTGTCAAATTCAAAACAGAATTCGCAGAGGCGTTACATTATAGCTGCATTAGTCAAGGTCGACTAGTCCTATAATCAACTCAGCAGGAGGCACATACCTTCAAAGGAACCATCCTCAGGATTGTTAGCAAATGCGGACTCAGGAAACATGTCTCCAGGTAGCTGGTCATTAATCTGAGGTGAGCTATATATGTAGTGCATCATAGGAGTGTCCGCAAACAGGCTTCCCTCGTCAAAATCGTCGATGGAGAAATCTGACATAAAAGAATATAAGTGCCAAAGAATAATGAAGAGACTACAACTAATGGAAATGAGTTACCTCTCACGGGTGCATCAGCCTCTTCGTTTCCAAGGTTCGCCTCCTGCAAATTATCTGAAGGAGCAAGGAGTAGAGGACAGTTAGAGGATACACAAATTCATTAATGTATTATCTAAAGAAATACGCTGTCAGTGATAGATGTACCTTGACTCACAGAATCTGGTCCTACACTGATCTCCTCCCTAATGTCAGCAACCCCTGTAGACTTCTCTACAGGGGGTAGTGGGTCAGACTCATCGGGAGATAAGGGAACAGGATCGGGACTCATCTCATCCTCCCCACGCACTCCTATATAGAAATGGAAAAGCATGAGTCAATGTTCAGAATAACCAAGAAAATGGTTCAAAGAGTAGACGTTACCTCTGTCACTAATAGGGTCATCTCCAGCCAGATCCATGTCAGATGCTCGTGAAGCTACACGAGGTTTGCGGGCCAATCTCTTCCGCCTAGCAATAGGGATCGAAGGTCTCGCCTGGGGAGGAGAACGGAAATCTTCATCCTGAGCAACTGTGGTCTCTGGAACATCAAACCATAGTCAGTTTCAACACTTCTGGAAGATAGAAGAAAAAGATGAAGTGCAAACCTCGCTCGGAAAAGTCATCGTAATCTTCGGGATCCCCGCCTGAAGCCTCGTCTGTGGAATGGAATGTCCTCTGTCCCTCTTCGTCAATCCGACGAGTCTTGTTCCGTATCCTCTGTGCCCGGGCGTTTTCCCGAATCCTGCGGGAATCAACCTGGGAAGCTGCCTCAGCCTCTAACTCTGCGATTGGCTTCACAGGGATAGTCTTGTTGGCTGCTAACAACCATTTGCAGCTCAAGAAAGTAAGGTTCAACTGCCGGTCAGCACTCGGGAGACTAAATCTAACACCAGTACAGCCAGTCACGGTCCACAACCAAGCGCGGAGACCGTCTATCAAACCACTATGAGTACGAAGCTGCTGACGAGGATTCCCAATGTAAAGCTGGTCATAGCCAAACTGGCGAGCGAATCGGCACGGTAGATATGGTTCGATGAAGCACTGATCCCTCACCCGGAAAGTCAGATAGCCGGGCCTAATATTCACTAGCCAGTTGAAGCAGCCGATGTCTAAATAAGTCCGGTACTCTCTAGGCCTCTCATCATCTATCAAGCATTCACCATATCGACCGGAGAACTGCGGAAAACAAGTAGAGAATGCCCAACACTTATGGACCTGCAACTGCTGTCTGACATCAGAAAATCCGCGGCCCTCCCACCTGCCATTCTCAAGCAACTGTAGCAGGGGAACAGAATGGTCTGTGGCGTTCGGCACCGACATCATATCCGAGCGATGAAGGACAAACCAGGCCATCAGATAAGCGTACGGGAGCTCCACCTTAAGCGTGGGAATCTGACCTGGTAAATCGGTCTCCTTCCGTGTGAACGCACTGGAAAGCTGTCGAAGTCCTCGGTGAATATTAGCCACCATCACCGGAAGAAGTGAGAGTTCCTTCTTATAGGCGAGCTGAACTGCTGGGTAAAGTACCTCCAAGGGCAAGGCGTCGCCAGACTGATATGGAACCACGCACTTTTTCAACCAGATAGCAAGAAAGCCAGCAAGAAGTGTCATTGGTCGAATTGGTGCGGTAGCGTGCCACAAGAATGACTTGAACTTGGTCTTCGCAGGAAAGCCACCCTCAGGACCGCCGGTGGTGTAAGATTGAGCGCCGATCTTCTTCAGTAGACTGTTCACCTCTGAAGGAGTGAATGGGGCCAGCTCACAAATATCCTCGCCATGAGTGCTCTCCAGATTCTTGAACAAGTAGTTCGCAAATTGTTTCAGACTCACACATACCTTGGTCCTCTTTGCTAAGGGCTCCGACTGTGCCAAAGCAATATGGTAATGACAAGTGAGGTCCCATAGAGTCTCATAACGGTCAGGCATGCGATCTTTTAATTGGCTCAACTCATGACTGGAAGGAAAGTACTCCTGGTATAGCATCTGTCCCATGGACAAGCCAGAAATCCTGTGCATCTCGTGAAGAGCCAAGCCTAACTCCCCCTGCCGGGTCAGAAAAGTGTTCGAGTCTGGATTATATAGCTCGAACAAAGCACAGAAATGTCTCAAACTGACAGGCAAGCCATACACGGTGGCACGAACGGCTGCATACAAACTGCAAGCATGCAACTCCTCGCCCCATCGGCTCAAGACGTATGTCGTCATGCGGCTCCACCAAGACTTGTCCGAAGAGTGGACCCAACCGTAAAACCTGTGACGTGTCGCTGGCATCTCCCGTCCCAGAACAGCGAGACGATTCCTCAAGGTGGAAGCGGTAGCAAGGAACTCGTTACGTGGTGGTTCGTCCAGCCCCAATACACCAGGACGCAATCCGGTAACACGACTTCTGCACGAACCAGGAACCGCCGAATGAGTGATATAGCCGCAATGGACACTCATATGATCCTCTGTCAAGCGCCACGACATCTCCCGTGTCACAGCCTGACATCTGAGCTCAGTCAATGAACGATGCCGAGGAATCTCCGGCAAGTATATGAAGCCATTGCCGGTCTTGTGAAGCCAATGCTCAGCACCAATGAATACGGCTTCTGGGTCATCGACAGAATCACCAAATAGGAAATCGCTCTTTCGAAGAGGCTGAGTAGAGCTGGCGTCCTTCACAAAAGGCGCATCTGTGATTAGCTGGCGAATAGCTCGATGACCACCTTCCCTCACCACTTGGGCAACCTCAGTCGACGTGTCCGAAGCAAACTGAGGGGTAGCTGGAATAGGGGAAGGATCGTTGGAGTTCGAATAATGCTCGCCACGCCGTCCATATATTGCGTGGGACGGGAATGATCCAGAAGGGTACCCCACTGCAAAATAGACAGTTAAACACTGGTTAGTCTCGATTATAAAAGGAAATTGAACTCATCTTACAAATAGCTAAGATAGAGTCATTGCCTTATAAAGGGTGAGACGATTTGGCCACATTGTACAATCACAAAACAGGGTATGTCGACAACATATCCCTGCCTTATAAAACGCAATGTAGTGTCAAATCGCCCCCTTTATTATGAGATGTGGTTTTGACCAAGCAAAACCCATCTTTAAAGCGTCGATCCTCACCAAGGAGAATCAAGGCTTTCCCGATCGCCTCACCAAGGAGAGCAAAATGGGGTAAAAGGACTAATTCGCAAATTCTCAGAAAAAAAAGGGTTAATTTGCAAAATTCCCAAAAATGCCAAAGCGTCGATCCTCACCAAGGAGAATCAAGGCTCTTCCCGATTGCCTCGCCAAGGAGAACAACGTGGGGTAAAAAGGACCAATTTACAAATTTTTAAGAAAAAAAGGACTAATTTGTAAATTTCCAAATATTGCCAAAAGTAGCTCACCGGCGTAGGAAGGCGGCGCACCATCAGCTGACATGGCAGGGGAACGACCTCTCGAAGAACGCGGCATGACGAGCTGCAAAATAAATTAAAAAGAGGTCAGATCTATAAAAAAGATCACTTTTTTATCAGATCTACATCCCTAAAAGATTAAATCGAGGCGTCAAATTACACCCTCAACCCTCACATATGATCCTACAAATGCATAAATTAAATTGAGCATGAAAAAGATCAAAATTGTGGAGGATTTACCTGAAGAAAAGCTAGAGATCCAACAAAAGTGAGACCTTTTTGGAAACTCTCAGCACGCGCTCGAGGGGCTTGAAAGAAATTCTAAAAATTGGGTTTTTTGAGGGGTTTTTCAGTCAAAGATCCAAAGGAAGCCTAGATCCAGGACAACTATCAAAGTTTCGAGGAGAAAAGACGCTCGAGGGAAGAAAAAAAATCAAAAAGAGGACAAGAGGGGGGGCCGGCCCTAGAAAAGAGGAAGAAAAGAAAAGAAAAAGAGAAAATTCCCTCTTTTATAGCCTTGAACCAGATCTGGTTGAACCAGACCAGACCAGGCTGGACCAGACCAAGCCCAAATTGGACCAGACTGAGTCAGAATGA